TATCATTCAATTTATTAGCCATTATATAATCGATAGATCAAAAGAAAATGAACACATCTAAAACGATCAAATAAAAATAATTATCATACGAGCAACAAATATGATATACATTTCAATTCATCTAAAGCACAGCTTATGTCTATATCTGGTTCGAATAATCAAGGATCGATATTCAATGATGCTCAAGTTAATATAACAAATGTTTTTGATCAGCCAATTTTTCTATCTTTATATTCACATTCTATGTTAATCTATATTGTATTCATTACTCTCCTATCGATAATAATCATGATCCTGTTTTTATTTTTCTATCATCGATATCATCGACAAAAATTCTATTTCAATAGTTTAAAGAAACAATCCGATCATTCATGTAAATCATCGAATCAAGGAAATGATATACAAAGTAAGAATCTATTGTATTCAAATAGAACTATTTTATTTCTGCATATATATGTGTACCATTATTTTTGACTAGATACATTACAGACATATATCATATACAATGACCTAAAGGACCATCATCCAAATAATGAAAACAAATCCTTGGACGAACAAGATAATCAGAATTTATTTACAACAACTGAAGTCAATACATTAGTAGATATTCAATCTGTAAGTATTCCTAATAAATATTTCAATATAGTTGACCTGTTTTTTTTTGTCAAGAATCGATTGTCGTGTGATATTGAATTAAATCATGATACTAGTTCTTCATTTTATCAAGAAATAGTCGATGCTATGATGCAAGTCAATGACAGTGAATGATCAACGGATAAAATTCGATATTATTCTATGAAACTATTCTATAGAACAATATTTATCGTTTGTTTTCTTCTTCTATTTTTTCTCTTTTTAGATATATCTATTGATTTAAATAAGAAATGTCTTTCGTCTCATTGTTTACGACAAAAAAACCAGTTAGTGAATTAATCATTCATCTTCCAAGGATCTATCCTACATTTTCAACAGCTATCTATGACAATACGACTAGTACAAATACTTCAACAACACCAACAACAATGGCATCCGTTGGATTCAATTCTCATTCAGCAAATAATGATAGAGATTTTTTAAAACTAAAATCAATGATTATGCAGAAGGATTCTAAAATTCATAGAGCGTTTCAACATCTTTCCGATAATACCAATCTGGTGTCGAATACTTTGACAAATTACTCCAGAAATAATTATCATCATTTTTTAATGACACTGGGTTTTTTAATTTTGTTACTATGTATTATTGCATTTATGATCTATAGTTGGATGAGAATATCAAAATATTTTTCGAACATGTTTTTGTTTTCAAGTAAGTGTATTCCTATTGAATCAATTAATTTAAATATGAACATAGCGACTTCTACTGTAATGAATCATTTTCATAGTTCATCCTGATCAATGCATCAACAATATCAGCACTAATGAAGACAATACAAGGAAAAATACGCTTAACAACAAACGAACAAATGTAGGTGGTTGATTTCGATTATGTTTGCTTATTTTTTTTTGCTTCAATTTCTCTATCTAGATCAACAATTTATCTCGTTATCCCATGATTAAATTACATTTTGACGATTCAAAACGACCAACGACTGTTTCCACATATAATAATCAACGATTACTACGGCCTTTATCTTGTTTTTATAAATATGAAAATGATCTATATTTATAAGACCATCGAAAATACGAATCGATTTCTTTTATCCTAATTTAGTTTGTTTTTTTTACGTTTGTATTGACATATATATATATACATATATATCATTCAATTTATTAGCCATTTTATTATGTTTATTTGATCGTTTTAGATGTGTTCATTTTCTTTTGATCTATCGATTATATAATACCGTCCAATGCAATCTCAGATCGCTGCCAAAAATTCACCGAATAAACAATCGGGTTGGCAACAAATTGAAATGATTTTATCACGTTGTCATCAACTACATCGTGAGAAACAACAATCCGAA